CCAAAGGCTGGGGGGTGTAAGAGCTCCCAGTGCTGTCGATGAGCACAGGGCAGGGGCTGCAAATCATTGCTGCCAGGATTGCCCGTGTGCCCCAAACCCCTCCCTGCCCACCGAGCAAACCAAAGGCCAGGCCCTGCTACGGGGGCTCAGCAAAGCAGCCCTACCTGGGCGGGTACGGCGGGCGGGCACACTTGGCACCGTCGGGGACACCGGAGTCCTCCTGGCAGCTGCAGAAGCCGTTGTCCAGGATCTGGAGGTGCAGCAGCTCCTCTGAGTTGCTGAAGGCGGGGTTGTCCAGGGAGCTGGCCGAGGGCAGCCCCGAGCGAGACCAGTACTGGGCAGAGACATCGTCCAGGCGGCAGAACCGCCGGTAGCTGTGGGACAGGGCAGGAACGTGCACACGTGTGTGTGGGTGTGAGTGTGTGTGTGAGTGTGTGTGTGTGTGTGTACACACAGAAACACACAGGGCAGGGCCATGCACACGTGTGTGTGTGTACACACAGAAACACACAGGGCAGGAACATGCACGTGTGTACACACATGTACTAACACACGTGTGTATACATACACGGGGCACACACGTGCATGTGTGTACACACACATACACAGGGCAAGCATGTGCACACGTTGTACACACATGTACTAACGTGTGTACACACACAGGGCAGGCACATGCACACACGTGTACACACATGCACCAACACACGTGTACACACACAGAGCGCAGACGTGTGCACACACCACGAGCACGTGCACCCCACCCCAGTGACTGCATGGCTACACAGATTGCAGGTTTCCACCCAAAATTCCAGCGTCCAGGGAAGGGCCCAGCCGCACACCCAGGGTGGGGACAGAGCCCACGACACCAAACAACCTCTGGTCACAGGCCCGTGGTGGTTGGGGCTGTTACAGTGGTTTCCTGGGGACAATTCCCCCCAGGGCACTTTACAGAACGGGCAGCGGAGCCAGGACAGCGGGGGCTCCCCCCGGGGCTCCCCCCGAGCCGCTCTGGCAGGGCTGTGCTGCAGCCCCCTCCCCACCCAGCCCGGGCAGCAGCACAGGGTGACCCTGTGCCCCGGGCAGCACTGGGTGCCCCAGGCAGCACTGGATATCCCGGGTACCGCGGACCTGGGGGCTCATCGGCACATCTCAAGCTTCTCTCCACGGCCCTTCAGTGCCACGGTGGCCCCATCCAGCCCCGCGGCCCCCGGCACTCCTTTCCGGCCCGGACGCCGCTTCCCGTGGCTGTGAGCATCCCCCAGCACCGAGCACACACCCCGGACCCCACCCAGCCGGTCACCAGCCGCTCCCAGCACCTCCCACCGCCACTATCAGCCGTCCCGCAGTGTTTTCCTTGGCAGAGCTCAGCCCCAGCCCAGCCGCCCCACCTCGGCTCTCCCTGCTGCCCCTCGCACCCGGCACCCCAGGAGGGGCAGAAGTTCCCTCCCTCCAGGACCCCAAAGCCCCGGTCCCCGCGGCCCCACGCTCCCACCTGCTGCGGGTCTGGTCAGCTCTGGCCTCCAGCAGCAGGGCCTTGAAGCGGCGGACGGCGAGGGCGGCGAGGACGGTGCCCAGGAGGAGGATGCTGAGCAGGACCCCGGCGGCCGCGCCCAGCAGGCCCTGCTGGGTCACCCGGTAGTCACAGCGCAGACCCACGAACCAGAAATCGCTGCCCACGGGGCACCTGCGCCCAGGGGGTCCATCAGCGCCGGGGGGGACGGCACCAAGCCCCGAGCTGCCCCCGGGGCACTCACCGGCACCAGCCCCCGGGGCACTCACCGGCAGAGGGGCTGGCGGCCCCGCGGGTGGGTGCAGATGCCGTGGTTCTTGCAATAGTCGCGGTGGCAGAGGGAGGTGCAGGTCGCGTTCCCGTCCGCCCCAGACACGCAGGCAAAGCCGGTCGGGCAGGCAAAGAGCACAGTGCAGGGGTCCAGCGTCCGCACTGCAGGGACGGGGCCCGGCTGTGCCACCGCTCCCCGCAGAGCAGGGAGCCAGGGCCAGGCGTGTGCCCGCCCTGCCACAACCCCTGCAGGCACCGGGCTCCGGGCCCAGGGCAGGGTCGGCGATGGTGCAGCCCCGTGCCTGCCCCACACTCACCCAGAGCCTCGTGGCGCAGGACGGGGGCTGTTCCCACCACCAGCCCTGGCCCACTGGAGCCCAGCGTGGCCTCGAGGAGCGCGTCCAGTCCCGGCACCGGCACCTCCTCCCCCGCGAACAGCGCGTCGTACTGCAGCACCACACTGCCCTCCCTGCAGGGACACCCGCCCTGAGCTCCGGGGGGCAGCCCCCGAGCCCAGCACCTCCCCCGGCACTGCCGGGACCCCGCAGCATGTGACAGTCCCCGCACCCCCGTGCCAGGGAGCATCAGGTGCTGCGGGGCTGCACCAGCACCCACCTGATCCCCGTCACCTCCAGCCGCAGGAACCCGGGCACCGACGTGAAGAGGGGGGTGACCTGCACAGGGGGGGAGCTGAGTGCAATGGCCCCCGACCCGCAGCCCCCCAGCCCCCTGCACTCACCGTCTGGTTGAAGCTGTGCAGCAGCTCCTGGTGCTCGCGGGACCCGGGGTCCTGCAGGGCCGGGACGAACCCCATATCCAGCACCAGCTCACAGGGGACACGCAGGAGGGACGCTGCAGGGGGAGATGGGGACCAGCGTGACATGGCCCCACCCCAGGGGCCACCACCACTGACTCCCCCGTGTTGGTGACTCCCAGGGCCTCTCCCCCTCCCACCATGTTCCAGGAGAGAGTCCCAAAGCCCCAGACCCACCTCTCAGGAGCGGGGGCTGATCTTCCACGATGAACACCTGCGGGGCCCTGCCCGCCCCAGCTGGCATCAATCGGGGGGCATCAGTGTCCGGCTGCCCTACAGGGCTGCTCGATGGCTGGGCCAGGTCCGTGTCCTCCACAGCTGGAGGGGACCTGGGGCCCCCACCATGGCCCAGGGTCCCATTGGGATCAGTGGGCTGCTGGGGGGCCCTGGGCATCACAGTGGGTACATGAGTTGGGGGCCCCCACGTCAGCCCTGCCACGTCCCTCTGCAGTACAGCAGCACCAGGCTCTGGCGTGACCGTCCCCACGTCCCTGGGCAGCTCTGGGCTGGCGGTGGTGGCTGTGATGGTGGTGGCTGTGATGGTGGCGGCCACAGCGCTGGCAGTGATGCCAGTAGAGGTGGTCGGTCCCAGGGAAGATGCAGGCTGGGATGAAGGTGGCTGCTGGGAGGGCCCAGGGGCTGAGGGAGGGGCCAGGCTGCCCACTCCCACCTGGGTCCCCTCCCGGATTTGGGGGCTCTCAGCAGGACCCACCCCCCCGTCAGTGTGGGGAAGCCCTGGGGAGGGGTCTCCTGGGGGGGTGCCCACAGCAGGGGCAAGCCCCAGGACCCCCCAGCCGGTCCCTGGGGAAGACAGGAGGGTTGGCAGCAGGGTCACTGCCCCGCTGGCTGGGGCAGGCTGTGGGGACAGGGGGACATGGGGGGCCCCAGGACTGGCATGAGTCACCCCGCTCTGCACCACAGCACTGCTGCTGGGGGCCACAGGGGTTGGGGGCTGCCCTAGCACAGCCGATGGGTTCAGGGGGATGTGACTGTGCTCAGGGGAACCCCCCCTGTCAGGTGGCCCCAAGACTCCTGTGCTTGGGTCCAGGGCTGCCCCTGGGACAGAGGAAGTCACCCCTGGGGTGCCAGCTGTGGTGGTGGGGACAGGCAGACCCGAGCCCCTGCCTGTGGCAGGCAGTGAGGCTGGGCCTGTGCCCACGGCTGGCCAGGCTGTGCTGGCCACAGGCCCCTCATGGCCAGCAGCCCCCAGGGACAGCACAGAGGGGCGAGGGGCAGAGTGGGGACCCTGCCATGGGCCAGAGGCAGAGCCCTGTCCTCCTGCCAGCCCTGGCCCCGCCAGCCCCCCATGTGTCCCCCACAGTGCCCCTGTGGGGGTCAGCAGCCTCTGCAACCCCTCTACAGAGGGTGACACCCCTGTTGTCCCCAGCACTGGGCTGTCAGTGGCCAGCGTGGTGGCTGGGTGGGTCCCTGGGCTCCTATTACCCAGTGCGACAGTGGCACCCAGGCCCTCCCCAGTCCACAGCTCAGGGGAGAAGGAGCTGTGTGAGCCCCTCTGGCTCTGCACAAGGACTGTCCCCATGGACCTCCATCCCATCAGGGTGTTGGGGGATCCCCTCTGTCCCCCAGCAGAGCCCGGCACTGCCATGGAGGGCGGTGAATGCAAAGGGGTCCCCTGCACGGTTGCAGCTTCCACTGTCACATGTCCTACAGAGTCAGTCCCGAGGGGGTCCGTGGGGGCAGGATCTGTGTCTGGCTGCACAGGGGTTGGGGTTCCTGCACTGGTCACCCCCAGCTCGCTTCCTGCAGCTGCCTGCTCGGTGGTGCCTGCAGACACGGGGGGCCCCGGGTGCTCAGTGACTGTTCCACCCCACACCGCTGGCCCTGTTCCCTCCCCGCCCGTCCGGGGGCCTCTGGGGCTCCCCTGGGGGCCGGAGGGCTTTGCTGTCCTGGCAGGAGTCCCAGAGAAGGGCAGCAGCTCAGCCTCTGTCCACAGCTGCCCCAAGGCCTCCGGTGTTGGCGCCTGCCCCGTGCCAGCTCCTCGCTCTGGGTGATCTGCGGGCAGGGGCAGAGTTGGGGGGCACTGAGCAGGGCTGACCCATGGCCAGCACCCCACAGCTGCCAGGGCGGCACCCTTGGCCCCATCGTGCCACCCACACACGTGGCTGGCACGCAGTGCCACAAAGGGCCGCGAGTGGGACCGTCTCAGCCCCGGGGGTACCTGTCCGGCAGCGCTCCCCCGCCGCGGTCCCCAGGTGGGCGCAGGGGTCGGCAGTGCCCGGCGTGGAGCCCGTCCCGCTGCCCAGAGCGGGGCAGAGCCGCGCGCAGCATTCCACGAGCACTGAG